GTGCAATTCATTATTTTAATACAATTGTGTTAAAAAGGTTTGGAAGTACCACTATGTATGAATAATAAAAATTATTCCATTTATAGACCATTTAACATACAGACCACACACACTTAAGACATTTACAAAAATATACCTGTGAACATGATGCAATCCCTAGTTGTCAACTGCCTTAATTTTCTTGGGTATTACAGATTTGTTCCCCCAATTATTTTTTTCCCTTGAAATGTCTATGGCTTACTGACCAGTTATACCATAAAATTCATCTGTTTCTGCATGGTAACATAAACCTGTGATAACAGGGATATGAAAGCTGCCATTACTAACCTCTCCTTCCGAAAATGCCAGCCACCTGGCTTTCATGTTGATCAAACAGTTTCTCTTATGAAATATTTCCTTTAAAGTCTTATCATCTATTAAGCTACTCTGGACTTTTTAAAAACATTTTTGAAGAAAAAAGAAAAAGTACATCTTCTGTGGTTGAATAATTTTTTTTGTGTGTGTGTCTTTATGTGTCTTTATGTGTGATAAAATGTTCTATGCAGTTGAAAGCTCATATGGAGCATGGAAAATGTAGATGCGCAGGATCAGCAGGAAAGGGTTCCATTACATTATTAGTAGATGTTGGCAACTATGGTGTTATATTGTGGCACATGATCAAAAAAGTACAGCTACAATTGTTTGACTTTGTTTTGGGGTGGGTGGAATATTTTAGATTTCTGTAGGTCTTCCTGTAATTATGTGTTTGTGTACCATATAAAAGAAGGCATCCTTTTGTATGTTGTTAGATTCTTTATACTATTGGCAGCTGCATGCAGCATAAGTTTGCTATGCATGATCAGCGGGAATGCAGCAAAGTGTATTCAGTGAACTGGCACACTTCTGCTTTAGGAATTATAAGGTATTAACATTTCACAGTGCCTTACAAAGTACATAGACAACTTACTGCCTTGATTACACAGTAATGTCTATACATAACAGAAATGAAATGATAGAAAGTAGGGAAGCCAGTGAACCCCCCCATGTATATGTGCGTTGGATTGAGAAAACAAAAAACACACTAATACAAAAACATAAAACTACTCAAGATAATACCTCTGCCAAACACAAAGGGCCTCACACCACATACAGATCATTTCCAGACCTGGTTGTTTGTGGATCCAAAATGCATTCTAATGTATCCCTATGCTATTTCTGGCCTCTGTTCACACCAGCACAGTCTGTTCCAGACCAGACCAGAAAAAAACTGCATGGTGGTGGAACATTCAGGCCCCATTCACACCAGATCAGTTGGGATCCATTTTTTAACGGACGCTCACACAACAGCCCCGAAAAGTGAATGGGTGTGAATGGGACCAGCTCACACCGCTACGATCCATTCTGTTGCAGTGCAATAGAAAAAAAGAGCATACTTTACTTTTTTTCAGAAAAATGTAACGTAAAGGAATACAAACGGGTGCAATGCAATGGAACGGAAGTAAAAAAAAAAAATTAACAATACATAGATGTTTCTCCACTCAGAACATGTTAATTAAAATAACAATTGGCAAAGGAGAAAACAAATCTCAAAAACCCCCAACAGAACTGAAGTCAATGGACGTTGAAACTACTTGCAATTTCCTTCTGATTTGGGTGTGAACAGCCCTCAAAGATGGGCTGAAGCATCCAAAAAATCCCAAGTAGACAGGAACAAAGATGGGGATTATGGCAAAAATAACTTGTTGATGGAGTATAACACATTGTTAAGGGAATCCAGGGGCAAACTCAGCAAACCAGGCTCCATATATAGATGGTTATATATAACAGTTTTGTATGGACTGGCTTTTCACCATTACCTAAGCACTAGAGAATACTACCTTATTAAAGATTTAGCATAGAGCTTTTCTCTTGGAATTGGAAAATGAACTACTGGAATAGATTTTCCTTTCCTATGCACATCTGTATGGAGGAGTATATGTGTCTATATGCAAAAATGGTGAATTTAAAATCGAATTCCATTATAGTCATGGAGGGTGACTCTTGATAATCAGTTCTGTCCATTTTCAAGGCTAAAAGAAAAGGGATTGTCAAAAAAGGGCATGGAGAACTAGGCAATAATATGGGGGATATGTATCAATACAGGCTTTCTGTGGTACAAATTTCTAGGACAGCGTCAACCTCTAGCATCGCATATTTTGGATGTGTAATAGATTTTTTAACTTTTACATTTACCTTGGCTTAAATACAGCAGTAGAACCCCAATATCATTCATTACAACTTGAAACAAAGGCATGTTTAGGTAGTTTTGGCTATGACACCTGATTTTTTTATCCAGCAGTAAAAGGCCTGAACTGAACGGTGTATCAGGCAGAGCAGATCCAAAAGTTTACGCTTAACAAAACAATGCTAAAGCCCTCAGCTTCGAACAAACTAGCCAGTGGCAAAACAGTTTGAGAGAGCACAAAAACACTTCAAAGTAAGCACACTTCAGTGCTGCTAATGCACTCTTTCCTCCTCCACCCCAAGGGCGCATAGAAGCCCTTTTTGTTAGGCATGCTAAGGCATCCTTTTCCTCCTGCTCAAGACTGCATAACAGTCATTTTTTTTATTTGGCTGATGAAAGTTTTTGGACCATTTCCTCTTTTTCCTCTTGCTCTTGAAGCACACACAGGCTTTTTTGGGCATTGCTATGTGACCTTTTTCTTCTCCTCAAGGGCTGATAGCATCTCTTTTCGGCCTGCTAATGCACCCTTTTTTGTGGCCTGTGTTACTTCACAAGTACCCAGCCACTGTAATTTTGCCCAGAAGGTCTGCCCTTCATTAACATGTGGAATGCCATGAGGTAACAGGGGGTAGAGGTGAAATACGAGGCGGAGGAGTGTTAGTGTGCAGTGAGAAGGACATTTTTTGGGATACTACAATGGGGACATTTGAGCCCTCTTATACAAGGGAAAACTTCTACTGCAACCATTCTGACTTTGAAGATGCAGTGCAAAGGAAAGATTTGCAGCATTTCCTATTGGTTGCAAAAATGAGCTGGTCGCCTGAGATTTGGCATGATATTTTGTTTTAGGGTAGCTCCTTTCCCTGGCAGGGTCCTATGTAGCTGCTGTGCGTGCTAGTAAGCTGTGTATCTCCACAAACACACAAGCGTAGTAAGGCAAATCACTCCTCTGCTTGAAGACAGCTGTGTGGGAACATGATTACAGTAAATACTTATGCAAAAATGTAAAGAAATACTTTGCGGGCAATGTATATTTTGTATGTATATGCATGATTCATTTTGAAAAAAAGTGTTTAATATTACTTTAACGCGTATATTTTTAAAACATTTGCAGAGCTCTTTGTTCTGCAAAAATCTGACTTTTAAATTTGCACAGCATTTTGGCCAGGAATGACAGCAACAACTGCTTAATTAATATGGTGTTATCACCTCAGGCTTAAAGTTACAATCTGCAACAAAATTAAGCAAAAAGACTCAATTTAACAGTCAAAATAGTTGGCAGTTAAAGATCTAGCTACCAAACAGTTGTTTTGAACAGATATTGGGCTGTAAAATAATTTTCCGATGTACAGATATGTGCACACATAAGACAATGTACCCCAGCACTGCAATTCAAAGAACTCAAGCATAGTTTGTTAAAGTAGATGTAAATCCAACAACTAAAATCTTATTTAAGCTCTAACACTTGGTAATACTGATACAGTATAGGTACTTGTTTGAGCAGTTTGTGTTATGGGGTTACTATGCTCTGCCCCTGTCTCCAACAATCCTCTGCCTTCAAATCATCCTGTCATATGCATTCTCAAATTCACAAAGGAAAAAAAAAAGGTTATGTGCTAATGCACATTACCTTAGAATATTACATAGTCTTTTTTTATAAAAAAGGAAGGCCTGCTAAAAAAAAATGCAGCCAGTAACAATTGTGAAATATGCCCTGTGAAAACACATATGCAGCTGATTATCAGTGAAGTGCATGTTGACAGGGACAAGCTGTGAAAAACATTAATGACAGCCAGCAAGAATGAATAAATACACCCTCTGAAAAAGCTGCCTGCTATAACTGCAGTGCATGTGGACAGGGACTGTCTGTCAAAAAAGAGAACATGTGGCCTTTTAAACCACATATTCAGCCTGATATGACTACAGACAATGCATGTGGAGTGGCTGTAAAGAAACTGCAGGACACACATGAGCAGTATTAAGATATACAAATCCTTTACTCCCCCCTCACCAGGATATACAGCATTTTGCTACAGGACATTTAGTAAGGATTTACACATACTCGAAGAGACCAGTGCCTACTCTAATCCGTCTCTAAGCACTTTATTAGCAGCACTTTAGTAGCAGCACCTCCTATATGTTCCTTATTACAGCTATGCGCATTGACAATATGGCTGCTGGGAACCTCACATTTTATAGTGAGGAGACTGGTACATTGCAAAACTCCCATTCTGGTTATTCTAAGCCACCTGACCAGAATTAATGGTAGTCTGTTGCCATGGTGCCAAACAATGGCATTGGCTGCTGTTTTCTTTGGACTGCGAACGAGTTGGGATCACCTCAAACCAGTGCTTACCCAAAAATAACATTTCCCATATGTAAGTTAAAAAATCAACTGCGCTGACATTGTGGATAAGCATAAAAAGGGGAATAAGCAAGCACTGTACATGTTTAAAGAGCATGTTAATGGCATGTCTTGTCTGATAAAAGTGAAAAATACATTAAATAGGTCTTCTGCCTTATGCCATTCCAGCTTTAAAGAGGGGTGCAGTACAATTAGAGAGAGGTGAGGTTAAGATTAGTCTGGTGGGGTATGCAACCACCCTGTACCACTATTTTTTTAGTGCTTCTCTATTACATACATAAACATACAAACATGTCCAAGCTGCTAATTATAACTAATAAAATTAGGCTTTTTATATAGTATTAGGAATAACAATACAAACATGTTAATTTAAGTTGGAGTATTTTAGCCGAACATATTTCTCTAGCACCTCTTTTTCTCCTTCCAAATTACCTTTTTGACAATAATGACTCCTTCCTGCGTCTCCTTGTCTGTGATGATTTGAAACATGTCATGTTCATCTCCATCACTGATTTGGTATTCCATCTCCGCATTCACACCTTCATCTGCATCATTAGCTTTGATTCTGCCAATTGCAGAACCCACAGGGGAAGACTCCGGGGCCCGGAATTGATAGGTACCTAGAGATTTAAAACATAGACGCTTTTAAAAAGTGTTTTAACGGTTTCTTTACAAAGCTTTCAAAAAATGCCTGAACAGACTTGTAACAAAAATACTGGAAACAGATTAAAGCAGAAGGAGCAGTTTGATAGTGAGTATACCACTTGAAAGAGACAGGGAATTAGGTTGCAATTTGACTTTTATTTATATTTTTATCCTATTCATATTTCTCCTCTGTAACTTCACATACTTTCAGCAGCATATAGGGAGACAAGCCAACTCTTTTAAAGTTGCATTTAATTATGTGCAAGGTGCATACAGGATGATATCCATGCGATCACTCATCAGCATTCACCCAATATAGTCTGTGAGTATCAGATGTACCTTTCCTATTCCAGATGATAGCAAAGGCGGAATGTAAATAATGATGCAATGGAAACCTATTATAATGATTATTATTATTAATAATATTTGTGTCTGAGTGTAAATTAGAAGACATTAAGAGAAATTGGGGGAGAATGTATAAGCTAATTCATTGTACCATTTAGGTTTGGGTTTGTTTCCTAGAGATGAAGACAGTGTTCACTTGGTAAAGTGAATGCTAATTTAACAAAGAACTCTGGGTAAAATAATTATTAACCTTGCACTGGGGCTACCCCTGCACTGCAAGGGTTATGAGCTCATTTTTGCCTAGGGTAAAAAAATAACAAGGTTATACTCACCCGATTTGCGAAACCGGCTAGCTGTGACAGTGCTCCCTCCAGTAATGGTATGTTCCTTGACGTCCTCACCTCCTATACACTGTGTACATCATGTGATGACTTAGGGACCTTAGACCGTTGCAGCGGAGGGGGAGACAGGCTTCAGGGACAGGTCTAAGAACCAGCCGACTCCATATTGTTTGACTGGCTCGATTGTAATTGACCAGGAAACCGGCTTCCCAGCTAATCAGGAAGCCTGGCGGCGAGTAATGACCCGCCTCCCTGATTGGCTGGGAAGCCAGCTCCATGCTGATTGGCTGGAAAGTGGGTTTTTGCCAGGATCCCAGCCAATCAGCAAAGAGCCAGCTGTTCAGCCGGCTCAGTGCTGATTGACCGGAAAGGTGGCATCTCAGCCAAATAACATGGATCCGGCTTCCTGACCAATCAGGAAGCCGGGAGGCGGGTCATTACTCATGACCCGGCTTCCTGATTGCCCGGGAAACCGGCTCCATGCTCACCTATGGCACTGCCGTTCAGAGGAAAATCTTCTTATATATAGATAGATATATATATATATATCTATATATATATGTTTTAGCTTTAGATATACTTTAAGCACATGTGGGTAGAAGATGAACAGGTCTTTGCAGTAAGGCAGCACAGCAATCAGAATTTTACTTGAATCATTTATAAACAGCAGCAACAATGACAACAGTTACCGCTGATCACTTGCTATAGATTAGTGCACCCTGTAATTTACATTGCCTTAAAAAATAAACCCCTGGAATCATACAAAGTATTGCACTTCTATGTAATACACTCTTGCTGTTTTCAGTACCTAAATTCTGTAAAACATTCTGTAACAGTTAATACAGCACAAGAAAAGACAACATACAGCAAGTACAACAGCATGGCCTATTTCTGGATAGCAAATGTTTCCTTGCTGATAATCCCAAATGTCTGATTGGGTTACACTGAAAAATGTTCTTTTGTGTGTTTTAGTAAACACTACCAAGGTAATGGACAGCCTAGGGCGAGGTGGAGGACATTTGAAATATTGACTCCATTTTTATTGCATAATGCAATTACACTGGTCTTGTTCGGTTTTTTCTTTCCCAAGTTTTGTTTATAGTGCTGATGTCTGACAAACAACAGTGGGAGTTAAGGACAGATGCTACACTGTGATGAACTCCAAGTGTAAAACAAGTTAAGGCTTTGGAGATTTGAAATGCATGGTGAGGAAAATGCGTAAAGATATATTCATTTCAGACATGATTACATTTCATGGTTAAGGGAATCAGGAATAGTTTCTCCAAGGAATAAGTGTTAGGAGCTCATGAACAGACTCTGCGCAACGCCAAACAAAGACATATCCATTATATAGATATAAAGGATATACAGAATTCAAAATACTCTGGTAAAGCTGGAAGGCTGGAAAATCTGCAAGCAAAATAAATCAAAATGCTCTATAAAGCAACGTTTAATGCGGTTTTCATCCCTGTGGGTTTGGAAATAGGCAAAAAAAAATTTCCCTGCCTTAGACTTTTATTTTTATATAATCTGAAACAGTTCACAAGAAAGTAAACAATGAACGGTGCTTACTCTGGGGGAAACGAGGAGGATTGTCATTAACATCCAACAAGGTGATATTTACACTCGTCGTCCCGGACAAACCTCCCATTTGTCCCCCCATGTCTTTGGCCTGGATAACCACTTGATACTGTTCCCTGTTCTCTCGGTCCATTTTTGGCAACGCTGTTTTGATGACACCTGCAATAAAAGAAATAATAATTTTGTATTGGGAAAATGCATCCTTGGAGCAAAAATGTGACAGCACGAACAAGCTAAGTATTGGGTTTCAGGGGATTCATAAACATTTACTGAAGTCACAGCCACCTGATTCTAGATCTATATTTACAGCTTGTCTAAGTGATAATAAAGTTACAGAAAGGTTCTTATTATAAAAGCTAGCTTTCTTCCTTGTGTATTCTTTAGACTTATTTTGTGATGGAGTATTGATTTTTTAGTGCAAAGCGCGCTAAAGCGTTAGTTCCAATACTGCAGCCTGAAACTCCGTTAGGTGCTATTTGTATCTAAAACAGGCATATAACTGTCATCTTTAAAAGTTAAAAATGTTTCTGCGACAGAAACTTACTTTATGGTAACATTAGTCTTAACGAGAAAAGAAAATCAGCTTTCAGAATATAACAGGAATTTCCTCATGTCTGTCCTCTAAAAACGGTTCTGCCATTTAGCAATATATAGTGAAAGAGTGGCACAAACACATATTTAAAGGGGCCAGGTCCTGAATTGCATGACAACTGCAAGATACATAGGTAAATGTGTTTCTTGCCTATAATTACTGATTTCAGCAGCTTTATGGGTTTCAAATCAGCAGATGTTGAAATCACTAAATATATGGCTCTGGTCAGCTGGCTGGAGGTTTTTTTACAGAGTCGATCCACTCAAAAGTGATATTTTAGTTATAGATAAAATCTTTTGGGCTAAGTGCTCCTAGATTGTTATACATCAAAAAGTGAGCTTTCTCTGAAATTTTGGGTGTTCTTCCCCACCTTTGTATGTTCCAGCACTTCCTGTTGCGGTCAACAACATATAAGATACATTAAAACTCTAACTAAGACAGTGGTAACCCTATTAATGGACACAGAAGGTGTGCAGATCCAGGAACACAAAGGCAAAGATCTAACAACAGAGTCACTGAGTGATATAAGAAGCTGTCTGGCAGTTTAATGGAGAAGTATTGCAAAAGTAAAATATATTCTTCACAAATACTTACAGCCAGCGTGCAGGCTCTATACCAAGGGCTGAGCGATCATGTAACTGCTGATTGCTTAGCTCATGGTCTCCTCCCTGCAGACAGCAGTTGGGGTTTCAGTCACCTCTAACCACAGGGATTCCACCCGTCCCCTCTCTCTTTCAGACTGGGAGGGGGAGCAGCACTAGGGTCCAGTTCTTGATACTGCAGTGCTCATTTGCTGACAAGGAATATGTTGACAAGTGGAGAGAACAGAGTAATTACTTCATTATCCTTCTGCTTCTCCTTCACTATTCAATCACAGGCTGAGGGCAGGAGGTGACCTAGCTATATTTATTTTTCAAATTTTTGTAACACAGCTCCCATATACATTTCCCATATACATTTAATTTCATTTGTGCATTTAGCTGTTTGCCTGCAGTTCAGCTTTGCGCTTAAAATAGGGTGTATCATCTTGACAAAATATAGGCATCTTAAATGATCTTCAGTTTAAGCCCATGTAACATATGTGATAAATGAAATGTATGTATAAAATGCATATATTGAAACAGTTAATGTAATAAAGTATGTATAAAGAATAGTAATGCAAATATTGAAAGTGTTTTCATCAGATAAATAGTTAACAAGATAAATAAACAATAAGAATAAAAAGTAACCATATCTATGCATTTATATATGCCTGTCTACCTAGTCTAGAGCCTTCCAGGGCACCTGAAACCCCTGTTGACTGCCTTTCAGGAGCCTCTCCTGCCTTGACATTTGTTTCTATTCCTACCAGCAGCAAAGCAGAACAGCTATCAACGTTCCTTCACCAAGTTGGTTTTGTGTAGTCTATGACCCCTAGAGAAAAGGCACTGAAATGTACCTGTATTTTATTCCCTCTCAAACAACTATCACAGGACTGTGTGTCCCTATTGGAAGATTCTCCTCTATTCCCTCTATTCCTTTTCTGCTGGCCACTCAAAATGTTGACTTTCCTATCATGTCATTCCTGATGATATTGGTTATAAGGAGAATCAGAGAAGGCGAATCTCCCTAATAGGAAAATAGACAACAATGAAGACTTGCCAATGGTTCTAACCCCTGACCAATCTATATACATCTAAAAAAAAGTTTTGCCTTTAGTTATATTTTCAAATTTTCTCTGTTATCTTTGCCTGACAAGGTAACATAAATACTTATCTAGTATTTCAGTATTGAGTTAACATACTGGAAGCTGGAAGGCTTAGAATCCTCTAACCTATTGCTGGATTACTACTACCAGATGCAAGTATTTTGCCATTGCTTAAAGGATGCCAGAAAACATTTTTTTTTTGGCATTCCTCACGTAAATCTTATCATTTCTGAAAATTTCACACCCACACATTTCATAGTTAAGCAGTCCTTATCTTAAGTTTATTACTTTTTATCTAAGATGTAGAAAGCATGTTGCTTTGCCAACTTCTTATGCTAGGATTATCAGCCCTTATCATTCCTCAAGGTATAGAGCCATCAATTAAAGTTTAGCACTTGTTATCATAAAAAATTCAGCATTTCATAGTTTATCATTACTAGCAGAAATGACCCGGTCATAGAATAGCAAGAAATTGTAACTGTAGGAGTCAAAGAGATCCAGTCATGGCTGGGCTTATGCAAGAATCTAAATATTCAGTCTTTGAAGTGTTTGTAAATCGTAAAGCTGGTCATACAGCAGTAGAATTGTGTTTTAAAATTCAATTTAAATTCAGTTTTAATAATTAATTGTTAGAACATTCATTTGATTGTCTAAAAATTATTTGGGTCTAATCTAATCATCGTTTTTGACCCTAATGACAAAAAAGTCGTAGGAGCAGGATGGAAACATTTTCTCGAATAAACAAAATTTTACCATTCTTCTGCATGAACATTCATACACAAATCTATCAGTGTATGGCCAGCTTAACAAAGAACTCATCTTACTTGTTCCCCTTTGGTCTGTTAAATACACCACTGGAAAACCTTTTGTTATATCTGTTGGATCCAGGCAAAGAAAAACCCTGCCAGAAATCCAGTGCTCCTAATTCCCTGTGACAATGCTGCTCTGAAATCTCAAACAATCATACCATCCCTGCCTAGTTCTCCTTTGTGTACTACAGAAGACCCATCAATGTTACTGTCTAGTCAGTGTTTTTACCCTGCGACAGAAAGTGTGATACTAGCAGTTGAAAATCAGTTAAAAAATAAGGGAAAAGGCATTAAAAGTGAAAACTAATGTAGCCATGAAATGACTAGTCAGTAGGGGCAATATATCAAATATATGTTCTTGGGTTTAAATACACTGTGTGGGGTGACTTGTGGAGGGTTTATATTTGCTCCCTTATTTAGCTTTAATACTTTTTCTACATATGACTTTTCCATTTGAGTAACATGCATTCAATTTCACATACAAACTGGCCAATTACCTGTGGCCAGTAATGCCATTTCTCGAAGCTGATAGGTATACTGGAAACATGCTCCTTGCTCTAAAAAGCGAGTTATTGATTGCTTGGACACACTGGGGATCTTCAGCTGCCCGTGTCATGTGCCAGGCTTCTAGTGTGTGCTCCTAAGAAGGAGTTGGCTAACTCCAGGCGTTCCTGTATTTAATTTGTATATGTTCAAGGTTGGGAGCTTTGGTAGATTAGGGACCACACTATACAGAGGGTCCTTGATGGGGCAGTGTGGTTTCCACATAGGTTTGCTGAAAATATATGCTACTAACACCTCTGCTTATGTCTACTTGCAGCATATAGATCTGCTATGCTATGTGCCCTAACGAAAAATAAATAGGGGACTAATCTTAAATCTTTATTTGGTAAGTATGCACAATTTTAATATTTAAAGACAAAATATTTGGGTTATTGCATGAGTCCAGTCATTTCTGGTTATATCTGAGAGTTGCTGCCTTCTAAACTACCTGGTCTAGCACACAGTCTCCCAGTGCATAGGATTATCAGAGCCCTATAGTACATTTCTTTGACTTCAAGGCTTGCTAATATGACTCTGGTATGCACTCTCAGGAGATGGGAGACAGTATGTAACGGCCAGGTAGTTAAAAGTGCCGAAAACATAAGACATGGCCCCTGATACTCAAGGTAAAGTCACATTTTGGAGCTTACACTGGACTAAAGAATCTTTTCTATCTCTGCCTGTGAGTTTCTCTGGCAGACCTGATTGGAAGCTCAATGTTAGCCTATAGGTAGTCAGACCTGCATCTGTTTACATCTGATAACTCCTGAGACTGTCTAGGTCCAAAAAAACCAGTCCTGTTTGGCAGACCGGAATGGTATTGAACAGAGGTAATCAGATGTAACAGACACATGTCAAAAGTGTCACCTGTTCCATACTGGTCCAATCAGTAGGGAATCTGTGCACAGTGCTGACTGGAACAGAAGCTGCCCATTTGAAAGGGGCCTAACCCTTGCTACAAAGTTGCTCTTGAGCCTTTTACACTATATTATTTTGCAGATCTGATGCTAAATGTAAGAATGCAATCAAATGATTCAACTTCCCCCTCCTCCTACCTTTAGGCAAAATTGCGGGTTTATTTAGAGAGAGGTTTCAATTCCAGGCTATAGTACACTGCAAAGAACTGTGTCCATGAACATGTATTTTTCTCATGGTAGGCAAAGTTCCAGGCTCAGATTATAGCATGCAGGGGGAGCATTGCATACTTGCATTCCCCATGCTCCCCCACCACCTTGCTCCATTACCTATGATATTTTTGAAAGGCAAAATCATAGTCAGGGTTATATGGGTGCCCTCCTTTTGGCAGTGGTGCTTACTTGACTTACTATGTAGTGAACGTGTTGCTTTACATAGTATATGAACTGTACAGGTTCATTTTAAGCTGCATCCAGCATACAAAAAAAACACATCACAGAATAAAACCTAGATAGTAAAAATCGCACATACTGTCGAACATACCGTGCAGCCATCAGTAAATAAAAAATAAAAGTTTGCCATGTAGCAATCAACAGTGGTACAGCAACGAACA